AGGGGCATTCTTAACTTAATCTAACCACAATCGCGAAGTCCTTTTTGCCTTGTAAGATGAAATTTTCATAGATGTATGGGTTTAGGACATAGACATTTTTTTTAGGGAGGGTGTCATTTAGCCTACCAGAGTAAATACTCTGACACCCACAGGGTCACGTTTGTTCCACATGGAAAATATATTCATCCCATCCCAACATCCCCACATATCTCAACGATGGATAGCTTCAAACAGAAGTTCAAAATCTCATCCAAATCTTACTAACTCAAATGTCCCCAATGTCATCAATAAAATCATCAGAATCAAATATTAGCAAGACTCTTTGTATGATCAATATGTACATAAAATTATTTTCCTTTAAGATTTATTTATTTATGCAGACCACAGCTGGGTACAGGCCAGAGATGTGGGGTGGAGGTGAGAGGATTCACCAGAAACAGAGCGGGGAACAGAACAGGCAGACAGACTGAAACACACTGCTGAGGGGAGCAGCAGGCGAGACAGGAGAGGTCTGCTGCGCCATGTGGGTTGCCCCGTCTGGCCAGGGATCAAACTCGTGCTGCTGAGGCTGAGGATTGCTTCATAGTGTGATGCTTAACCCCTTGCGCCACCAGGGAGGCCCTATTTTCCATTTGAAGACTGTAAACTAAAAGGTATGTCTCCCAAACTACAATGACTGGGTGGAAATAGAATAGAAAGCATAAATGTTCCTGTTGAAAAAGGAAGGAACTAGATTACCAAAAGAAGTTTCAAGTAATTTTGAAGTACAAATGTGCAAAATATATTCTATTTCAATGTCTTGGATTAATATTTTGAATAAAAGCTTTTCCACCTCAGAGTCATCTTTCCTATTTAAAGAAGTATAAAGCATATTTGAAACTGAATAGTTTTATTAGCCTGTTTACTGCCTGTACAGTTTTGGGAGTCAGGTATCCTTCATTTACTCTTTCTTTATATATTTTAGTCTACACTGGCAGTATTGCTTATGTTTGATGATTCTTAAAAACGCTGATGCTCACATGCATCATGAGATTCACTTCAATATGCATTGAACGTTCCACAGAATGTTCCCGAAAATTTCATCTCTATTCCTGGTTTCTGCTGAGATAGCTTTGGAGATCCTTGCATCACATGACTAATCTCTTTCAAAGTCCTTTCTGTGACTTTATGCCTTGACTTACAAATTTGTCTGAGACTCTAGCAAAGGATATTAGGGGTACATACTTGACTTTCTCTACTGGGATCCATTTCTAACAATGGAGATCTTCATTTTCTTTTCTGCAATCTAGATAGGCGAAGAGTTTTCCTAACCATCAGGTTTTGGTTCTCTATCATACAACAATTCCTCCCTCAGTCTATCCCATTCATGTCTTACTTTACTGTGAGCTGCAAGAATAAAACATTCCATTTTTTCAATATTTTATATGGTAATATTTCTTAGGTAAATATGTAAAGCAACACTGGCGGCTTTTACTATTGAGATAACTAGCTTTTTTTCCCTCATTATATAAATTTCTTTCCTTTGGTTTACAATAACAGGATCCACATTTACTTCTGACTGTCTGTATTTAGAACTAGTCTTTTAATGATTTAGAACTATCACAAAATAAATAGTAGGAAAACCTCACCCAAACTGGATATTTCTGGGTTTTAACTCATTTTGGTAGCCCAGAATACTTTGTTCTAAGTCTTGGATCCACTAAGAAAAAATCTATTCCAATACTTGAACTGTGTACCCTAATTATGTTTTCCCAAGAATTTTCCAGATGGAACTACATCATTTATTGAGGTGATTGTGCAATGTGGAAAGGAAGAAAAGCAAACACTACATTGGTTAACCCTTGAAAACCCAAGATGATGCCCTTATAGCTATAGTCTTGATAAATAGAATTTTATGCTTTAGTTCAAATCAGAGTAGATCCACAGACCCATCCTGTAGTTATTTCCTCAGTTACAGAATAAATAATTGAATCACCATACACACTAGACTTTCTTCCCACTTTAAGATGAAAATCTAATAACAGGTCCTACTTCTAGTTGTCATAATAAAGTCATAAATGTCAGAGAGGTATCTAATTGTAAGAATAATGATAAAGGAGAATTGATTATGTTTCAATACTATCCGTAAGTTAATTTAGATATAAAATGAGATTGTACTAAAAAAGCACAATGAAAGCCATAAATTCTGATGAGGAAAAACACAGATTCTACATCAAATGCCTTTTCACTGACCTTCAGTAAAACAAAGAACATCACATTAAGAAAAGATTTTGGAGAGTCAGCGGGAAAACATTTTATTTTCAGCTGAGGCAAATGTTGCTTGGAGAAGGAAAGAAAATTATCTGAGATGAAATGCCTTGTACGCAGCAAAGGAGGGACTAAATATATAATATTTTTATCTATTAGTATGAAGGATCTAGTCTTCATTGTTGTCTCACCTGCAGTTAATCAATTTGTTGAATAAATGAATATATAAACTTGAATCAAGTATCCACATCTCAGTTTTTTCATCATATTGTCTTTCATATTTATATAACAGTGATGATCCCTGCCCTTCTGTCTTCCTATCGCAACACTTAGGGTGGAAAAACATTAGGAGGGATGAGTAAGATATTGATAGTTCAAAGTGGGAGTGCAGAGTATGGTTGTGCAGAACAAAGAATTGAAGCATGGTCACGTGCAAAGAGTGTCTACTAGCAGAGGTGGTGACTTGGGGCAATGTATCAGTACATTATGTATGGCAAGGAAAGCTTTTGTGCAGAAGCATGACTAGCTTGAGTTATTAGAACACCAGTTAAATTTTAATAAAGAAGTGGGATATTTAGCTACTGGAGTAACTCTCTAAAAAAATGCTTAGTAATTACAAGGATAAAATAAGTAATCTTTAACTAGAGAAGCCTAACAGACATCTCTTTCAACAGATCAAAATAAACATCATCTGTCAAGGGGAAAAAAAAATGTCTTGTGCAATCTGTGAATGTAATGAGATTATAGAACATCATTAAAGGGCCTACCTCCAAAAGATGTATAAATTAAATCTTAGGAGAAAATACGAGACAACTTAAACTGAGAAAATTTCTTAGTATTGTCTAATCACCTAACCACAAAATAGGGAATAAAGGAGTGCTCTGCATTGAAAAAGATAAAGGAAAAGTGACAATTTAATGCAATGTGTGTTTCAGAACTAGATTATTTTCCTACAAAGGACATAATTTGCGCAGTTGGTAAAAGTTGCACAGGGAGGTGATATGTACCCTACTTCAAAATGTTGTAGTGAGGATTAAATTAGAAAATCAACAATTTAGGATAGGGTCTAACATTACTTTAAGAGTCAAATACAAGCAATATAGTTTTGCTCATTTGTTTATATATGCTATAGGCTAAATATTTGTATCCCCCAAATGTATAGATTGAAATCTAATCTTCAATGTGAAGGTAATTGGAAGTTGGGCACTAAGAAGGTTATTAGGTCTTTAAAGTAGAACCCTAATGAACAGATTTACTTCTCTTATGAAACAGATTCCAGAGTCTTCCCTTATCTCTCCCACCAACTCTTCCATCAGGCAACTGGAAGAAAGCAGTCATCTATGAACCAGGAAGCAGACCCAAAATATTTACTTCATCTGGAGTCCTCATTTCCCAGTGCTGAGATAAATAAATTTCTGCTATTTCAACTCACCCAGTTATGATTTTTTTTTTGTTATAGTCACCTGAATGAATTAAAACATTGTTTTTTTCATTCTGTAATTTTTTTATTAACTGTGGAATTTCTCTTCCTACCGAAGATTACAAGAAAAGACTGGGTAAAACGCTTTTGCACCAATTGCACTAATTAAACCCTGCACTTGTGAGAGTGCTGACTTATCTGATTGGTATACAGGGGCAATATTTTAGCTTGACTTCACATTCAGGTTCATTCCTATCTCTTAGGATTGACAAGTATGAGGCAGATCTCCATGGTAGACTAGATGCAAGTCTAAATTCAGGAGGACACAGAAAGTCTCAAAGTGGGGCACTGGTTCTAGCTGTTATTCCAAATTCATCTCTCCTATTCATAAAGCAATTATTAACACTTAATTTTCATTAGACTCAAATATTTATATTTAATGTACTTTAAAAAGCAGAAGGAAAGATGGGTTTTATTAAAGATTATTTGGAAAATCTTAATTTATATTCATGAACAAACATCCCTATAAAAGAAAGACAATTGAGATTAAAGTTTCTGGAGTAATTCTGACTTTAGGAATCCTTTACTATGAAGGTCATTGAAATTTATTGTTTCAGGTATGACTGCTCTTGGTGTGGGTGATCATGTAGCTTTGTTCACTGTATTACTTTATTATGTCTGTCATAATAAGGTACCACAAAATGGGTGGCCCAAATAACACCAGCATAAATTAATTGTTTCTTATTTCAGGAAATTAGAAAACTGAGATCAGCATGCCAGTGGTAAGTTCTTTCTAAGGCTAGGAGGACAAACCTCTTCATTCCTCTTTCCTTGCTTTTAGGACATTGACAACAATCTTCAACATTCTTTGGTTTATGGAAGCCACACATCATTCTATATCCTCATCTTTATATGGTGTTACAACCTGTTGGTGGTGTCATTCCTGTACTGTGTCTGCCTCTCTATGCCTCTTTTAATAAAGATGCCAGTCATACTGATTGGTGCTTAACTAAATTTTATATAATATCATCTTAGCTTAACTAATCATATTGCAATGACCGTATATCTTAATAAGGTCACATTCTGAACTACCGGTACTTAGAAATTTAACAATCACATTTTGGAGAATACAATTAACTGAAAACAGTACTGTTTGGCCAAAAAGTAATATTATATATTATATAATATATAATACACACATTATACATATTGTACATTGTGCATATTGTATATAATATATACAATGTATAATATTACTTTTTGGCCAAATAGTACAATATAGTATATAATATTATTTTAGTATAGTATAGTATATAATATATTAATATTAAAACAGGAAAAAGTTCAAATGCAGTCTCCCACTATGACAAATTATATGACTAAGTTTCCCATATTTGGGGCAATTGCAAGGGTCAACACATCCAAAGTGCAAGGGTTAAGCCTTACCCTAGGAATAACATCATTATGATCACGGCATCTCCCCTCCCATGTAAGTATAAAAATTAAAATATTAGGAAATGCTTGATCACATCTGGATTTTAGAGTCCAGACTGGGTTGGCCCTATATCGACAATATTTTTATTAGTGAATATCAAAGCTTTTTATTAAAAATAAAATAATTTCTTATTATAAATAAAAAAGTAGGGCTTCCCTGGTGGGTTAAGCACAGCAAGTGCAAGTGGTTAAGCACAGCACTATGAAGCAATCCGCAGCCTCTGCAGCACTAGTTCAATCCCCAGCCAGCCAGGGAGCAACCCACATGGCGCAGCAGACCTCTCCTGACTCGCCCACTGCTCCCCTTGGCAGTGATTTTTGGTCAATCTGCCTCTTCTGTTCCCCACTCTGTCTCTGGTGAATCCTCTCAACCCCTGCATCTCTGGCCTGTGCCCCAGCTCTCATATGCATAAATAAATAAATCTTAAAAAAATAAAAATAAAAAGTATATCTAGAAATTGGTTTTGCTCACAGAGTCAGTTCAAATAGGTCTCAGGTTGATTTTATAAATCAGTTTACAAAATATCTTACAAAATATAGCCATTAAGGAAAGAGTGAGGGAATGAGGGAAAAATTTTTATATTATTTTATTTTTTTACATCATTGTTCATTTTTAAACAATATTTGTTCCCCCCACCTCCTCATAGTAGTCCCCATAGAGTTTCCTTCCCCAAGGCACCTGTGCACCACCACCTCAGTCCCCTGTGCTCACTCTGATGCCTCTCCCGTCTCCTCTCTTGCAGGATGTCTCTGGTTTATAATTGTCTGTTTTTGCTTTGTTGTGTTTTGTACTGTTATTATTTTTTTTACATTGATGTATTATTTGGTTCCCCTTTATTCCTGCTGTAAGTAAAATCATCCGATATTTTTCTTTTTCCTTCTGGCTTATTTCACTGAGCATAATTCCTTCTAGCTCCATTCACATTGCTGCAAATGGCATGAGTTTATCTTTTTTTGATTGCTGAGTAATATTCCATTGTGTATATGTCCACATCTTCTTGATCCAGTCATCTATTTTTGGGCATTTGGGTTGTTTCCAGGTTTTACCTATTGTAAATAGTGCTGCAATAAACACAGGGGTACAGGTGTTCTTTTGAATCAATGTTTTTGTGTCCTTTGGGTAGATCCTAGGAGTGGCATTGCCGGGTTGTATGGTAGCTCCATTTTTAGTAGACTGAGGAACCTCCACACAGCTCTCCATAGTGGTTGGACCAGTTTGCATTCCCACCAGCAATGTAGGAGAGTTCCTTTTTCACTGCATCCTCACCAACATTTGTATTTGCTTTTTTTTTTTATCTGTGCCATTCTCACTGGTGTAAGGTGGTATCTCAGTGTGGTTTTGATTTGCATTTCCCTGATGATAAGGGATGTTGAACATTTTTTCATATGCCTGTTGGCTATTTGCATTTTCTCTTTGGAGAAATGTCTTTTTAAGTTCTTCTACCCATTGCTTGATTAGATTGTTTATTTTGTTTTTGTTGAGTCCTCTGAGTTCTTTGTATATCTTTGTGATCAGTTCCTTATCAGTTGACTGGGGTGCAAAGATTTTTTCCCAATCAGTGGGGTGGCTCTCTGTTTTGGTTAATATCTCTTTTGCTGTGCAGAAGGTTTTCAGTTTGATGTAATCCCAGGTGTTTTTTCTTTTCCTTGACTTTCTTTGCTTTGGGTGATGAGTCTTGTAGGGTTAATGGTTTTCAGGCTTTTCTGCCCTCTGCCATTACATTAAGATTGCCCTGCCTGATAGGGCACTTGCATTTTTGTTTCATTGTTATAAGTTCTATTGTTTACTTCTGTGGGCCATAGCAGCAGTATTGAGATAGTCACCAAGAGAAGCAGAGGCAGGAGAGGAGAGAAAGAAGCCCAGAGTGAAAACTTGCCGGGGGCTTGGAGGACTACCAGCCTCCTGGCCCCTGACACCCCTGCCTGCCGTGTACCTGGTTGCTGCGCTACATATAAAAGCTCAATAAAAGCCTGAGAAAACCACCGACGGCGCCAGGACTCTCCTTTACTCGTTCTGCTTGGGTAAAGGAGAAAACCTGCTCAGTGGTCCACCTGCCCCTACAATTGGTGTAAGTTGGCAGCATGATTCGATGCAGACAGTTGACAGTTATGGAGCCCTCTGAAAACCTCAGGAGGGACTGAGGAGCAGCAGACTGTGTTTGCCTGTGACAATGCTGGACGTGCCATGGCAGCACAGGTAGCAACCAAAGTCCAGGAGCTGTGGAAAGAGCTGAAGATGCTGCAGGCGCACAGAAGGTAGACAAGGTCCAGAAGCTGCGGGACGAGACCTAAAGTGGAGGAGGAGACGGCCTGCGAGGATCAAGAATCAGCCCAGAACCACTGAGGCAGCAGAATCATCGGGGAAGAAAGGACCATGATTCGGAGCTCACCAGTGTTTATGCAGGAAAAAACTGATGGACTTGGACTGACAATCCCACAAGAAGTGGGGGAACTTTGGCAGGGTAATGTTATATTTTGGGGACTCTGGGGGAGGATGGTATGGTTTGTACACCCCAGGAGATGGGAATCTGGGGGTGGCCAGTGGGCCTCAGTGTTTAAAAGCAGCCTGAGTAATGCCCAGCAACCCTAGGGCACAGCCCAGAGAGGCAGTGGCCAGAGTGGAAGAGGCAGGCATGAGAAGAGCCCAAGAGGCAGAGGGAGGAAGCCCTCTCCAAGTTCTTGGCAGCCAGGCACAGGAAAAGCCAACTTAGAAAGGCAAAAGCTGGGCCACAAGACAAATATCAACAGATACATGAAAATCAAAATCATTCCAACTATCTTCTCCGATCATAAAGGCATCAAGCTAGAAATAAATCATGAAAAGAAAACAAGGAAACTTCCCACTTCATGGAGATTGAAATCCACACTACTGGAAGACCACTGGACTAATGAGGAGATCAAAGAAGAAATTAGAAAATACTTTGAGTTGAATGATAAGGAGGATACCACTTTCCAGAATGTATGGGAGGCAGCAAAAGCAGTAATAAGACGAAAATATATAGCAATACAGGCTCACATCAACAAACAAGAAAGAACTCAAAGAAACAACCTAATCTCACATCTCAAAGAGCTAGAAAAAGAACAACAACAAAAAAAAACCCTAAACCAGTAGAAGAAAGGAAATAATAAAAATCAAAGCAGAAATAAATGAATTAGAAATTTAAAAAAAAATCCAAAAGATCAATGAAACCAAAAGTGGGTTCTTTGAAAAAAATAAACAAAATACACAAACCTCTAGCATGGCTGACAAATTAAAAATGGGAGAAAACACATATAAATAGGATTATAAATGAAAGAGGAGAAATCACAACAGACTCAATAGAAATCAAAAGAATAATAAGAGATTACTATGAACACTTATACACAAATAAATTTAACAACCTAGAAGAGATAGACAAATTCTTAGAACAATATAATCATCCAAAGCTGGACAAAGAAGAAATAGAATAACTAAACAGACCAATTACAAGCAGTGAAATTGAAGCAGTAATCAAAGCACTCCCCAAAAACAAAAGCCCAGGCCCAGACGGCTTCACAAATGAATTCTACCAAACGTTCAGCAGTGAATTAGTGCTTACCCTCCACAAACTCAAAAAATTGAAAAAGAAGGAATACTACCAAATATGTTCTATGAAGCCAACATTACACTAATACCAAAACCCAACAAAGACAGCACAAAAAAAAAAAAAAAAGAATATTACAGGCCAATCTCCCTAATGAACACTGATGCAAAAATCCTCAACAAAATCCTTGCCAACAAAATCCAACAATGCATCCATAAGATGATTCACCATGACCAAGTAGGATTTATTCTAGGGACACAAGGATGGTTCAACATCCGAAAATCAATCAACGTTATCCAACACATCAACAAAAAGAAATATAAAAACCATATGATAATATCCATAGATGCTGAGAAAGCATTCGACAAAGTACAACACTCATTTATGACAAAGGCCCTTGAAATTCTCGGGATACAAGGAACATACCTCAACATCACACAGCCAATATCATTCTCAATGGTGAAAAGCTGAAAGCATTCCCATTAAGATCTGGAACAAGACAAGGATGTCCCTCTAACCACTGCTTTTCAACATAATACTGAAAGTCCTAGCCAGAGCAATAAGACAAGAGAAAGACATACAAGGAATCCAAATAGGAAAAGAAGAAGTCAAACTATCACTATTTGCGGACGATATGATAATATACATACAGAACCCCAAAAACTCCACAGGAAAACTAATTAAACTAATCAATCAGTTCAGTAAAGTGGCAGGATACAAAATCAATGCACAAAATTCAGTAGCCTTCCTATACACAAATAATAAATCTGATGAAGAAGAAATCAAGAAAACCATGCCTTTTATTATTGAAACAAAAAAAATCAAATACTTGGGAATAAACCTAACAAAAGAAGTAAAGGACCTATACAAAGAAAACTATAAAACACTGTTAAAAGAAATAGAAGTAGACACAAAGAAATGGAAAGACATCCCTTGTTCATAGATTGGAAGAATTAACATTATCAAAATGGCCATTCTACCAAAAGCAATTTACAGATTCAATGCTATTCCAATTAAAATTCCAATGTCATTCTTCAAAGAAATAGAAAAAATATTGATGAAATTCATATGGAGCCACCAAAAACCCCAAATACCCAAAACCCTCCTGAAAAAAAAAAAAAAAAAAAAAAGAAGGGAATGGAGGCATCACTCGCCCAGATTTCAAACTATACTACAAAGCCATAATAATCAAAACTGCATGGTATTGGAACCAGAATAGACACATGGATCAATGGAACTGAATAGAAAACCCAGAAATAAACCCACAGATCTATGGTCAACTAATCTTTGACAAAGGAGCAAAGAATATGCACTGGAGTAAAGAAATTTTGTTCAATAAATGGTGCTGGGAAAACTGGGTCGCTACATGCAAAAGAATGAAGCTTGACTACTACCTCACACCATGCACAAAAACCAACTCAAAATGAATTAAAGAACTAG